AGAATATTGATTTTTTCTTTGCTTTATATTTATATTTTCTTGTTTTATTTACTTTATTTTAATGATTTGGCAGTTGTGTTAATATATTGATAATATTTGTGATAGGATTGTGTTCTTTATCATTATGAAATTATTCCTTGCTTCATTTAATTAATTGCCTTATCATATGGGGAACCTATTTAATGTGCTATTTAAATAGGCTGAATACATCTTCTGGTTTGCCTAAGATAGTTCCAGTTTATGTCTGTGTCCTAGTTGCCTATCATAATTATTCCCCCTTCCCTTTTGACGAAATATCATTACTAGTTTATCTTAATAAGCTGGGGTGATAGAAGTCACTTCAATTTTGTTGTGGTCTCATTTTACGATGTGTAAAAAATTAAATGTGTTGAATAGAGTTCTTACTTTGTCAATGGCTCAATCTAAAAGACAGTAAAAAGAACAGATTTAAAACATTAAAAAAATAAGAGATTTGTAGTAATAACCCATAATTTTCCTATGCTTTGTCCACATATGGTGTTATTAAATTTTCCTTTCAGTACAGTGTAAAAGGATTTTCCTGATAATGAAGTGATCTGAAGTGCCTAAAATTACCTCCTTACAATACTGGGTGGTTGGGGGAGTAGTTGGTGCTGCTGGTTCTGCCATCCACTTGGTATGTCAGACAGACTTGCCCTGGTGTATGCTGCAACCTATAAGATGCATTCAGTTGCCTGCCTTGTCTGTTGGTAGGGGCAGTAGGGAACTCTGGAAATTATAATTTAGTTGTACTTGAAGTATTTGTAGGAGGTAAGAGCTGAAAGGCACAATTACAAACTCTATGAAAAATAATGTAAGCACTCTTGCTACTATGATGTTTTCATTATTGTATAGTGTACTTCACCATGATTTATTGATTTTGTTGTTTGGTAATGCTTTTTATTTTCTAATAAAATTTTTGGCATAATGACTTCCAAAGTTATTATAAGAAAGTTGATGAAGACATGTACAGTTTTGTCATTTACCATTCATCAAAGATCCATGTTTATATTAACCAACCACAAGAAAACCAAATGATACAAATCTGCTGAATAATTTTTAAAAATGTTAAATATTGCCATCAGGAACTTGAAATAGAAAAATCAGTTTATTCCAAATAGTATTTGATTTTTGTAATTAAGAAAACTTTGAAAATTAATTCTGTTGAAGATAAATAAATAACTATTGTGAATGCTACTACAGGTTTATAAATTTTTACTTCAGAGATAGAATTAACTCATTGCTGTGGCAATAAAAGTACTACAAATTTTGTTTCACAATACCATGGAAAAAATAATGTTTTTTCAGAACTAAGAAAGCTGTGAAGTACAAATGTGATTTGAATATGTAAAAAAATAATTCATAATTTAGGAAAGTATTCATAATTGCATCATAATTAGTTGTGATATTTTACATCAAAATTTAAATTATTTATTCACAATTTTATATATATGTACATACATATATATTTTTTCATCTTGTTATATGTTACCTGTCTTTTCCTTCTGAATAAGAAATTTTTTTAAATGTTGGACCTTTGGATGAGTATTTCATAAATCAACTTCAGAGTCTTATACTGATTTTAACTGTTTTATAAATAAGTCCTCTAACTTTTGATTTCAGTTTTGTTTAAAACCAGTTGGAAATAAATACATAATTGAAATATTTAATAATGAATAACTTTATATTTTAAATATTAGAAGCTTTTGTTTAATTGTAATTACCAAAAACAACACTTAAAAATGGGATTATTTTAAAATTCATCCCTCCAAAATCAAGAAAGGAATGAAACAAATTAAACTATAAATGCTTGAATGGCATCTGACATTTATTTTAGAAATCTCTTAATTGTGCTTTGAAAATATTTCTATGTTGAGGAAGAACTCACATTGTCTAGATACCATACTGACCATTCCCTGTGAGTTTGAATATTTTGATGAGTAGAATGCTGAATAAGTGATGCATGTCTCCAAATGGACACAATTGTCCTGTTTAAATATCAAGAAAAAAATTCCATTAGGGCTGGTGTTGGGTGGTGGTGCCCACCTGTAATCCCAGCATCTCGAGAGGCTGAGTCAGGAGGATTGCAGGTTTGGAGGCAGCCGCCATTTAATTATGCTGTAAACAACCTAATAAGACCCTGCCTCAAAATTTAAAAAACAAAAAATTAAAAGAGCTGGGGATATGGCTCAGTGTTTAAGTGCCCTTTGGTTTGATCCCTGCTACTACTACTACTAAAAAAAAAAAAAAAAAAAAAAAAAAGAGAAAAGAACATAAAAGAAAAATCTATTAAAGATAACACTCAATAATGAGGTAGATAAACATCTATGACTATTAGCCAGCCTCTTTCCCTAGCCATTCTACTTCTGTTTGGTAAATTCTTGGCTATAGTGACATTTGCATCAAACATGGAGGATATGTAAGAGCTGAATGCAAGGCTTTACCATTACCAAAGTTGAGTTGGGTATTGCACTGACAAAAGCCTGCCTTGCCACTTCAATCAAGAACAAATCAGCATAATCTAGGAAATAACCCCATTCCTTGATGAAACCAACCAAACACCTGGAGGCAAGTTGATTATATATTTCTGCTTTTGTTATTGAGTGGGCAATAATGTGTCCTCACTAAAACAGATCTTATTTGGATGTGGGCTCTGTTTTTGACACCAGGGATCTGTAAGCATTACCATAATTTGACTTAATGAATGTCTTATCTATCTTCTGATAATATTTTACCATCATTTTGCATCCGATTGAGAATTCAGTTTACAGCAAAAGAGGTAGAGCAGTTAGTTCATGCTCATGGAATTCACTGACCCTCCAACTTATCTCAATAACCAGAAACTCTTGTCTCAATCATTATAATAGCTTAATTGAAGACTCACAAGACACCCTAACTGGTAGACAAAATCAACAAATTTGAGATGCTGTCTCATAGAGTAAGATGTATGCTTTGAAATAGCAAACTATTCATGTTATTTGGGATCAAGCAGTAGAAAAAAGGGTGAGTAAAGGGAGAAAAAAGTTATTAATACAACTGCGATCTTATAACCATTTGGTGAAAAAAATTATAGCCGTGACACATTTTCTCTTTTTTGTTCCTTTTATTCATATACATACAAACATATCCTGTATACATTTTTGTGTACACGTATATGTTTGCATATGTATATATTCCAATTTTTTATTTTGCTCCTTCCCGTTTTATTCTTTTGTTTATACTTTACATAAAGTAGACAACCTTAAAAATTTGTGTGTAAGTTACAGAATGTGTGTGAATTAAAAGGCAAATTAATACTGCCTCTGTAGAGATGGTCACAATTACTGGCAGGACATATTTCTGGTCTTGGCCATCATCCTCCATGGCCCCATCTACAGTGAGAGTTGAAGAAAATTCCTTTCCTGGGTGCAGTTAAGTTTTTATCATGTTTACTGATGGTATTGGTCTGTTAAACTAATTGTAGCTGAAAGTCTGTCTTGAGGTTTCTTTGGCAGTGGAATTCCTCACAAATTTAGTTAAGCCTCTGATATATTCGCTTTATTATTGGAAGTTACCATTGCCATTTTGTTTTTAGGCCAAAGGAATCTTCTCAGGGTTGTGACTAAAATAGGTTGTGACTAAAATTATTACCCTGAGATGGATGTGGTGTCTGATTAGGTTGTGTGTTTTTTGGGGGATCATCTTTGTATGACTGATAGTTGAAACATGTTAGGCAAAAACAGGATGATATTGTTATTTATTTACTATGGAGGTTTAAATATGCAGTGAAGGGTGAAAATGAGTCCCAAGTATGCTCAAGGGAAAGCTCTGCAAAATTTTTGCCTGGGGGCTATAAACTCCCCTCATGAACTCACTCCTATTTACAAGTGGACTGGCAGAGTGAGTGTAAATGACATGCCCAGAGAAAGCTGTCTTATTTCACCTAGATGTCGCCACTGAAGGGATTGTGGCAATAGATGTAAAAAGGGGCAATGGGAAGCCTCTAGTACTTTCTGTTTCTGTTGGCGGTTTTAGCAAAGGAGCAATGCTGGATGATTGAAAATTCCTGGATTTAAATTTGGGAGTTAATGTGATTCCATCAGCAGCAATGGAGTACTGTTCAGCAGCACTGTGCTCATGGGGTCTGTCTCTGGCACCTGCAAGAGCAGCAGAAGCAGGAGGTGACTGAGCTGGTTTGCCTAACATTAGGAAGAAAGTGGGCTCCTGTTTTCCCGAAAAACAAGGTAGTGAGTGCTGTTCCAACAGGCGCATCATAGCATAAGGTTATGCTCAAGCAATCTTGCAGGGTTATCTTGAGTTTTAGTGAGTAACCACTTTCCCTTTCATTCCAATAAATGTATTACTTTTGGAACCATTTCCCACCTATATCAACTTATTTTTGGCTAAAAAACTTAGCATGATTATTTTTTCTATTTGTACACTGAATAATAGAAATACACATGGTATAGAACCATTTAAATACCCTGCGTTATTTACATTGAATAAGTACATTGTGAAAGTACTCAGAAATGGTAAACTTCAAATGCAGAAAGCTGGTTATGGAGGGGAGAGACATAGATGAATTTGAATTATGTTTGGTTTCAACAATTCTGATAGCATTACATTTTCAATTCTAGGTGGTGGATAAACATTCATTAAGGTACTTATAAATGTTTTAATAATTGAAATGTAACACACTAAAATAAAGATCAGTTCTACTGAATAATACAATAAGAATAATCTTCAAGAAAGAAGATTATTTTACTCATAGAGGTAGTTAAAAAGTAACTTCAAAATGCAGCTAGCAAATATTTCTTAAAAGTTAACACCAATTAGTGTCAGAAAAATAATCACTAATTATGTCTATAGATTTTAAACATTCAGAGGAATGTAAAATAAAGGTAAATCAATATAAATTAAGTTTGCTTTGAAATGTTTATAATGTGATCTATTTTGTTTCTTAGATGCATATCATTGTCTTCATTTTTCTTTTTATATTCTAGGTATTATTTTTGGTCTTATAGACGTGAGCACTAACAATTTTCAAGAGAACTACACTCTGAGAACCATGCAGAAATTAGCCTTGAAACTCAGTTATGATGTTTCCTCTTGCGTGGTAGCAATATTTGTAGCGTATTATGGAGCAAGAGGAAACAGACCAAGATGGGTTGCACTGTCCTCCTTTTTAATAGGAGTTGGATCATTTTTACTTGCTTATCCATACTTGAGTGTTGAAGATCTTTATTTAGTGGAAGAAGTTTCAGGTAATATTTTCAAATATACTGTTGTGCCTCAAATCAATATTCATTTAAATCATTGGCTCGGGGACTCGAAATAGTCTATGATGCCTATCTGTTTATATACCCATATTGATTTATCTAATTAAGTTTATTGACTAATTACTTGAAGTTTCCTAGTGAACACATATGTCATGATCATATATCCTTCATATTAACAAATGGGCTTGGGAAGGAGAGGAAAGAACATTTGGAATAATTACTTTGTGAGATTATTTCTCTTTTGTTAATTTTCATATATATAACTATGAATCTCTTGAGAATTTTTCATGATTCCTTTTGTCTTCCACAATATGGTTTAATTAATCTCTTCCTTCTCACCTCAACAGACATACATACATGCAAATGCACACACAAGCTCAAATACAAACAAGCCTACACACAAATAAAGAAAGGTTAAGCTTTTTGTAGTTACTCTCACCATTTCAAAATGGGACCTGCTCATTGACTTAGTACTTGAATTGGGAAAGGTGGTGGCCTCTTCCCTTTGTTCATGTTGTTTTAAATGTTTGTTTTAGTTGTAGTTGGACACAAAGCTATATTATTATTATTATTTTATGTGGTGCTGAGGATTGAACCTAGTGCCTCACACATGCTAGGTAAGTGCTCTACCACTGAGCCACAATCCCAGCCCTTTGTTCATTTAAAAAAATATATATTCTACCATCTTTTCACTATTCCCACCAGAAAAAGGCATTTGAAGTTTCCTTGAATTTTTTATGACAGTACTGTATCAGATTCCTTCTTATCATGTACAGGTTTATATATGTGATGGAATGCATTTGCCCATTTTGGCAACTTTAAACTGGGTTCAGCAAGACATAGCGAAAAAAGGTAGGAGGAGGTCTCTGTGTACCGTACAAGTGTATAAATGCTTGTGATATGTACAAAGTGCTTTATAGTATATTTATGATGTGTGTTTATAGCATATTAAATTCAAAAATAGTTCATATTAATACAACAAAAGTAATATATAAATATGGTTATATACTGTATAACTCATTTATATCAATATAAGAAATATAAAATATGCATTTTTTATATTTATAGAACAGACTTATGGTTAAATGAGAAAATGACTTAAGGCAAGAAGGGAATGGAAAACATTTCATTCCTAACTTTCCTTTAACTTTTATTCTGTTCAGAAGAATAAAACCTTAGGAAACAATTGCTTTATACATAGTAAAAATTCTGATCAGTACTCAGTAGGAGTCATGGCAGTACAGCAGTATGATCTTTCTTCCTTTTAGGTCTTGTTTATATCATGTAGATAACATATTTTAGTTTTTGCTTGTGATTAGATGCATACAATTCACATAATAATACTTAATGTATTTACTGGGTGACTGCTTGATACCACAGAAGTCGAAATAAACTGAATAAAAGATAAATAAATTTATTTGTAGAAGTGCTCTTTTCAAGCATCTGTCTAAACAGATATTTTTCTTATTGCATTTGAAAGTTTATTTATTAAATAACAACTTTTAACTCTAAGTTCATATCTAGTTCATGTACACACACAGTGAGTTGTGTATTCTTTTGTTTTGTCCCTTTCCCACATCCTTCTCGTCTTGTCTGAATATCTCTCCTACTCTGTCCTCTGTGTACCCTTGAGTTAGTTGCTTTTCTTCCCTTTTGAGTGGTCTGAACCTCTTTGGTGCTGTGCCTCCCATTTACCAGCATTTCCTGTTCCCTTGCTCTGCTTACCATGCCTATCACAGATATCTCTACTGATGACATGCCAATCCCCAAGACTGTGCCTCAACCAGCATGCAGATATTGAACTTCACACATCCTTAAAAAGGTAGAACTGAGTTTTCTCCATGAACTCGTGGAAACACTTATTCCACATTCTCATCTTTAGTTAGTAAAGCTTTATATTTCAGGGACCATCCACATGTGCCCTGGTATCAGTGCACTGTCACTATTATGAGAACTTCTTCAGCATGTATTATCCAGCTCTCTGGTATTACACCCCCACTTCTTCCCACTTACTCATATGTTGAAGGCAAAATTCACTGGGACCTCCAGGATAGTGACACCTACTTTGTTTGTCAGATCCTCAATATAATTTCCCTTCATTTGTAGCTTGTCTTATATTCCTCAACATGAAATATTAGAAGTATTTTATGTACACTTGAATCAAATTCCTAAGCTCTCTTTTCTCATTTTTCTGTTTTTGTCCCTGGCTGGAAAGCCTTTTCACTGAACCACATACATTTCCTTTAGCTATAACTAGACTGCCGCCTATGAATCCTACAATGAATTCATTGATGTCAATCTCAGTTGTTCATTTTGCTCTCAAATGGATCTGCTCACCTGAAAACAAGTTTTTGTATTTTAGTCCTCTGTGTTCCATAATTCACAAGCAGTTTAAAAGACTTTCCTCACTTAACTCTGATGTTCTGTGTTGGATGGAAAGTATACTTTCATACAGGAAAATTGCCTTAATTTATTTTCAGAGGGTTTATAATTCCACATGTATTCATTGGTTGATATTCTTTACTTCTGCTTTCCTGTGGAATAAAGCTATGACTTCTGCTAACCATTCTGTGCTCCCTTGCCTCTCCGGAGACTATTCCTCTTAGTGATCTCCTTCCCCGCTTTTCTGCAAATTTTTCTTCTTAATCGTCCCATTCATTGGCACTGTAATTTGTTGAAGTTTCTTCCTAGTATTAAACAATATCAGCAATAATAGACATAACTGGTAGTCCTCTTTTTCATCACTTTTCTCAACCTCCTGATTTTCACAGGTAAGTTTTCTGAAAGAATTGTCCTTGCTTTCTGATTTAATCTCCCATTCTTTCTTCAGTCCACTTTAACATGGCTTCCATTCTAAATGCTGCAACAGAATTATTTTCACCAATGTAATTCATGCTATTTAATATAATGAAATTTTATGTGTTTTGATTTGAACTTTCATCAGCATTTCACAATATTGATTATTCCTTCCTATTTGAAATTCTCTTTTGCTTGCTGTTTACCATAGCCATATAGTTTATAGTCCTAAATAGAGTTTTTATGTTTGTTTATTTATTTATTTTAATATGATGAATGTCATTAAAAGATTAGCTTCTTTCTATTGGTCAACTGGAAGCTCGGGAGTATGAACCCTATGAGAAGGGAAATGAACAAGTTGAATTTTCTAGGAGAAGGCAGGGACAGATTTTATGATTATCAGGAGCCTGAAGGACCTCCTTGAATTTATTTATCATGAATCCAGTGTGCGATTTCTAATGGATGTGTGTTTTTCTCCAGTCATGACCAATTTCAAAATGAAAATATAGAGTAGGGAAAAAAGTAATTTGACCAGGGTTGCAATTTTACTAAGGGATTGCATGATGTGAAAGATAGCAAAGGACTACAGAGGTTGAGATGATTATGATAGAAGGAATGTGACACTGGGCTAGTGAAAAGGAGCAGGGTCAATAGATTACCAGTCCTGATGAGTTTTAAGGACTACAGAAATAAGGTTGCAAAAATAAGTGAGCTGGGAAGATAGGGATGATTAAAGTATAGATGCTTGAAAATCCAATTATGAAAAGTTTTTACTTAGATTTGACTTTTAAAATGAGCATCCTAAGGCAGGTAGGCTTCCATAAACAACAGGAGTTCGAGAAATTAAAAAGCGTGTTGCAAATATTCCAAACTGATACTGTTATTACTGCAAGTCGATTTGTCTGTATAAAATGAACCATCAATATTTTAATCACAATCCTAGAAACTTTTCCCATTTGCTATGGAGTCTAATATCATTCCATGGAAACTAAGTCAGATGAAAAGGTGATGTTATACCATATTGCAATCTGTACTTCACTAGGTTTTTCAAAATATTTTGAAAGTATTTGTTAAATTTCAACCATAGTAATATAATTTAGTAACAATTGCCTAACTTGACCAAAGTAAAATAGCAAATTAAATCACACAAAAATTTATTTAGCATTTTTTATAACCTAATGAATTAAAAAAATCATAAGAACTATCCTGTGAACTAAAGGATCTTTAAATCTCATGGATGAATGACCTTATAATAACTCTAGCAACAAGAAATTTTTATCATGTTATATCCTGTCCTTATGATCCTATGTTCTAGAAGTTAGTCGGTCTAAAATGGGACATTATTTTATCAGAATGACAAATTCAATATAAAGATCACTAAAGAAATGAATATAGAACTGAACTCAGAAAGTAAGCTTTAATGATTCAGAAAATTAGAAGTTTGCATCTTGTGGGACAGGATGCAAAATTAATAGGAAAATGACTGTAATATTTGTTATATTGTGTATAAATGTATATGTATAAAAATGCCGAGGCACATATAATTGTGTGAATACAATCATGCGTGAACATTTAAATTTTGGTTTACAATATGTGCATCTCTTCTGGCATTCCCACAAATTTTCTTTTATTAAAGCGTTTTTCTGAGAATATGATTAATCATAGGACTACATTCAATACAAATAAAGTATATCTAAAAGATAAAAGCATAATGGTGGCAACAGATTGTAGAAGAAAAATGTTTGATAAAGAATATTTCATATTTCTTGTATATTTAACTTTTGAATTCATTTAACAAAATACAATTATCTTTTTCAAAAGACATTTGCAATCCAATGAAGATTCTCGATGCTTGCACCAGATCCGAATCATTCCAATCAAAATATGTATATTTCTCCATCTCCGGGCAGATTGTGCTGGGAATAGCAAGAATGCCTCTTTATATCCTTGGAATTACCTTCCTTGACGACAGTGTTCCTTTGCACTCCTCTGGCTTCTATTTAGGCAAGTTACCCTGATTCTAATATTATTGGCCCATTTACTTTCTGCATTTTGAGATATATATTTTAACTGATATAAAATACTATCTATTGGCCCTGTTATAACATTATGTATGTTAAGTGTTAACTTGTATGCTTATTTTCAAAATTACACTGAAAGCTGAGAATGTACTTTAGTGGGTAGAGTACTTGCCTACCATGCATGAGGCCCTGGGTTTGATTCCCAGCACTACAAAAACCAAACCAAAACAAAAAATTCCACACTGAAACACTTAATTCTGAAAAGTGACTTGAGATTTGAAATTCTAGACAAGTCATCTGAATGACATTGAAAATATATAGAAAAATGGAAAACTGTATACTTTTAAAATAATAAAAACTGTTATTTATCCATCTATTGTCTGTCTTTTCAGTTCAGTCTACACAGGCTGATGTTCATTTCCCCAAGGAAAAAAGTCTAAAAAACATTGGATTAAATTGCCTGATTAGTTGTTACTTTTAAACTTTGGGGATACAGATGGGAAGCTGTTGCCTTATGTTCATAATGAGAATAGGACATTATTAGATGCCTCTTTAGCACCAGATTTATTGTGGTGCTGAAAATAATCGTTGTATTAAGTTCTTTTAACAAAAATCACTTTTAGGTCTTTTGATATTTTTAAGGTAATTTAAAAACATAATCATGTTCATCATAGGAGACAAATGATATGCCATTTAATAGAACATCATATAGTCAACCCTATTTATAGCATTCCATGCTTCTATGTCCTATGATAAGTAACCCTAGATATTTCACAGGAAAATTTATCCATTTTTATATTGAAATAGATTCTGATCCTGCTTAGATCATCTATTTGTACAGGGTTATCTAAATATCATTTTAAAGGAAAAATACAAAATTATTTTTATATACTTTATATGAAGGTGACTAAGTAGTATTTTGCACTGGAATAATGATTTTCCATGAGAGACAAAAAAGTGTATAAATTACTAAAATATGTTAATAAACTAAAGTAGAAGATATTCCTATTTATATCTACTTTCACCAAAAATATTTGCACTCATTTACTAATGTTAAGAGTGGCAGCAAATATTTTTGTTTTATTTTTAATTATATTGAATAGCAACTAAAATACATTCCTTTGTAATGTAGCAGCAAGCCTACTATATTTCTACTTCCTTCCACCCTGGCAGCTAAGGTGAAGTATACAAAGGTGATGGATGGTGTAACGTATTGTCTTCCTATAGAACTTTATTAAGGGAAATATACAAAATTTATGTTTATATTCAATATAAATATGTTTGTGTTATATTAAATATATTGTGTTAGATATAATGAATTACATAATTAAGTTACCTGAGTGTCTCTAATATTTGATTGGATGATATGTGTAATGGTCACTTTTTTGTGCCAACTTGTCTAGGTTATGACACCTTATTGTTTGCTCAAACATTAGTTTAAATGTTTCTATGATAATATTGGTTTAGATGTGATTGATGTTGTAATCTGTAGACTTTGAATAAAACAGATAAGCTCCATGATGTGGAGAGAACTGACCCAATTAATTTAATTCTGTAACAGTAAATACTGAAGTTTCCTGAGGAAGAAGATATTCTACCTCAAGACTGCCATATCAACTCTCACTTGAATTTACAGCATGCTGGCCTACTCTACAAATTTGTCACTTGCTCAGTCCTATAATTATATAAGCCAATTATTTAAAATCTCTTTCTTTTTTCTCTCTTTTATCTTTCTCTCTTCTACCCTCCTATATATAAAAATATCTTTTATTAGTCTGTTTCTCTGGACTAACACAGAATGTTATTTAAAAAAAAAACTACAGAAGCAATCCATTTAGGTCATTTTTATTATCTCATGACAAAGCTGGTTTGTAAAGTTGCTTCATATTTAGTATTCATTTTCTAGGTATTGGGGATGCTTCATCAACATTGGGATATGGTGTGGGTTATGTAATGGGAGCACCACTACTTAGGGCCCCTAAAAATAACAGCTTGCACGGAAGGTAAGCCATTTTTTTCCTTTTCCTTTTAGATTATGTTACATAAAATGTTTGTTGAATAGATACCATAGCTTATAACAAAACATATATATTTAATTTGTAATAAACATTTTAGAAATGTAAGCAAAAGTGACTGATATGCACAAGTATCTAAAATTAAGTACATTTAATATACATTTATATATTTTACTGCTTGAGATATAATTAAAACTATTACTTATTATGAAAACCTTACAACTAATTTCTCATGTGCTTTTTTTATGACAAAAAAAACCCACAACATCTTAACCACTTTTAAGTGTGCAGTACAGTAGTGTTAAAAATATGCACACTGTTTACAACAGTATCTAGAACTTTTTGTCTTGCAAAATTAAATCTATATTCATTTAACAACTCCCTTTTCCCCTACTCTAGTCCCTGGCAACCATTGTTCTACTCCTCTTTCTGAAAGTTTGGCTGCATTAAATACTTCATATAAATGGAATCGCGTAGGATTTATTTTGTGACTGGCTTGTTTTACTTAGAAAAATAGGCTCAATTTTTGAGCATGTTATAGCATGTGACAGTATTTCCTTCTTTTTAGAGGATTAAGAAAATTCTATGGCATATCATTAGTAGATCATTTGGTAATTTTCTTTTAATTTTTTGAAGATCTTTCACATTGCTTTTGTGTAGTGATTGGGCCATTTTACAATTGCACCAACTATAAGCAGGGCTCCAGTTTCCCACATTGTTTCTAATACTTACTACCTTCATGTTATCATTTTGTTGTTTTGATAGCTTCCATACTATTGGGTGTGAGGTAATATCTCATTATGGTTTTGGTTTGCATTTCCCTAATGATTAATGATGTTGACCACCTTTTCATATGCTTTTTGACCATTTATATATCTTCTTTTTTGCCATTGGTATATAAACTATTTATTAACAGAAAAGGCCTACAGACTCATTTCTTTTTAGATACACCCATAGTGCATCCGCTAGGCCCAGTGGTCTAAGTGTGCTGGCCTGGACACGAAGTCCCCAGAAGTAGCGCAGTCCCCTATTGGCCCTAATCTTCTTCAGTTGCTCCAGGTCCTCCTGAAGTTTATTGTCTAAACCACTGGCCAGAACCTGGCTGTATTTTCCATCCTTTCTATCCTTCTGTCTGTTTAAGACCCAGTCTGGGATCTTGTACTGTCGTGGATTCTGCATAATGGTGGTCACATGTTCAACCTCATCTTCAGTGAGTTCTCCCGCCCTCTTGGTGAGATCAATGTCTGCATTCCTCAACACCACATGAGCATACCTTCGCCCCACACCCTTAATGGCAGTGATGGCAAAGGCTATTTTCCGCTGCCCATTGATGTTTGTGTTGAGCACTCGCAAAATGTGCTGGAACTTTTCAGTAATCACTAGAGACATGGCAGCAGCAGAGCAGCAGCGTGTAGGCCTCCTGTGGAAGAGCTATATATCCTCTTTTGAGATGTATCTATTCAAGTCCTTTGCCCAAGGTGTTCTTTATGTATTTTGGATATTATTGTTTTCAAGATATGGTTTGCAAATATTTTCTCCCATTTTTAGATTATTTTTCTACTCTGATTAATGTTTCATTTAGTACATGGAAGTTTTTAATTTGGATTTATTGCACTATTTTTACTTAGTTGCCTGTGGAAGAAAAAAATGCCCTAAGATATTTGCCCTGTGCTTTGTTAGAGGATTTCTATAATGTTGTTTTATTCCATAAATATAGACATCTTTCCAGTATATGGAACTTCTTCAATTTCTCATGTCAGTGTTTTGTGATTTTTTCACAAATAAAATTACAAGATGTTTTGTGTCATTTACCTTTTACAACATTACTAAGTTTGTTTACTGAACAGTTTGTATGTATATGTGTGTAATCCTTAGATTTTTCTACATAGAAGATCATGTCATCTGTGAATGAAGATAATTTTGCTTCTTCCTTTCCAGCTCATATGCCTTTTATTTCTTTTTTTGCTTGATATCTTTGGCTCAAACTTTCAGAGGAAATGATTTCTGTTTTTCACACTGAGTATGTTAGCTGTGGGCTTTTCTTTCATGGTTATTATTCTGTCGAGGTAATTACCTTCTATTCTTCATTTAATATTTTCAAAATTTTTCCTTAACCAATGGACATGATCTTTGGCTTTTTCTCCCTTTATATTGTTAATGTGATTATTACACTGATTTATTTTTATATGTTGAACTATTTTTGCATTACTGTAATCAATCTCAAATGTTTATGGTGTATAATCTTTTTAATATGTTATTGAATTTGGTTTACTAGCATATTGTGGATAGTCTTTCCACCAATATTCATCAGGAATATTATTCTAGTTTTCTTGTAGTATGGTCATGTGATTTTTTGTAAGGGTAATAAAATATTATGAATTTAAGTGTTCTCCCTTAAATTTTTTGAAATGTTATAGATGGATTATTATTAATTCATAATTAAATATTTGATAGAATTCTCCAACAAAGTCATCTTGTCCTGGGATTTTCTTTGGAAGGTTTTTTGATTACCAACTCTTCTTTTTAATAGTTACAGGTATTTCCAAATGTTTTTTTTTCTTCATGATCCAGATTGGTAGATTTTATGTTTCTAGAAATTTATCTAATTCTTCTATGCTGCCCATTTTTTTGTAAGATAATTATTCACAAGCCTTTTATATCTGTGGAATCCATTGTAGCATCTCTATTTCACTTCAAATTTTTATTATTTGAGTCATCTTTTTTAAAATTTATCTATCTAAAGTTTTACTAATTTTGTTGTTTTTCAAAAAATCAATTCTTCATTTTATTGACTTTCTCTTTTTTTTAATTCCTTGTTGCATTCATTTATGCTCTAATTTTTATTTTGCTCATTCTGCTACATAAAATATATATTTTAAGATTTTGTTTAATTATTTATTGGAGATGTATTAATAATGACTTCAGTGAAAGCTATTCTGAAAGAAAACCAAAGGTCCCTATGTTCAACCCAGAGCTAACAAATAAAAACCCTAGAACTACCCCAACATCAGGCAGAAACCTATGAAACTTGTGCCCTGGTAGAATAGTGACGTGTTTCAACCTACATCAGGTTATTATCCTTGGAATAGGCCCGAGTCATGCCCCTCTACAAGACAGTGTAGGTCCCTACTTCAGTGAGATTTATGTATGATCCAGCTTAGCATCAGCCTTGATGGCATAGAAACTGCCTTCCCCAGCACCCCTTCAACCTTGGGCAGCATATAGTGCCCAAGATTATGTCAAATAAGATCCATTTTGGAAAATTAGACAGGACTTTGACTTGGAATTCAGTGTCAGAATAATAAAATCAAACACTATCAAGATCCTAATAGCTATATGCCCAAGTCAGTGCCTATGGACAGAGCCTAGAACAGCTCTATGCCAGCTATATGCATATTTTAGTTTATTGGAGTTATATTACAGCCAGAATTTACCTGTGACTGGTTGCAACAGTCTTGGGGCACAGCAGTTGGCATTCATATTTGTATGGTCCTTGGTCCTTCCTGCCCTATTGACGTGGGGGTATTGGCAGGCTATTGACTAAAGGTGGAATCAAGTTTTGAGGTATGGAGGGCCACTGGACTGACCACCACATTCCTACCTAAACCCAGGCAGCACAATACGGAGAGAATAATTGAGAGAGGAAAAGGGAAATGGGTGGACCACTCATGAAATAGGAGCCCAGAGCTATCAGAACTAGTGCCTGACCACAGGCTAGTGACTATGGACAATGCATTTGGGCCTACCTTGACTCCAGGGAAAGGGTTGTAGTGATGGATTATCATTTTGAGATATTCCCCAAATTTATGCTAAACAACACATCAACTGCAAATTTAGGACAATACCAGGTTGGATTGCCCTAAAACAGCTACATCACAATAACAATGGACTCTTGGCAAACTTGGACTTCGGTTGCCATCTAGTGTTCAAACAGGAGAAGTGACTGTTGACTCAAACAAACACTGTTTAGAAACTCTGGAAAGATAGACACAAACACAGCCATATTAATAAAGTTGGAATAAATATCTAATCCTTCAATGCATAGATGATGTCACACACAAAGAAGCATCAAAAAGTTCCAGGGAAATATGACCTAACGTACAGGTCAAAATAAAGCACAGAATCTGGCCATATATAGCTCCCAATATGGATGAATGCTCAGGTGGAGAATTTTGTGTGTGTGTGTGTGTGTGTGTGTGTGTGTGTGTGTGTGTGTGGTGCTGGGGATTGAATCCAGGGCCTTGTGCATGCAAGGCAAGCACTCTACCAACTGAGCTATGTCCCCAGCCCTCAGGTGGAGAATTTAAAACACCGGTTTTAAGGAAACTTAATGAACCTCAAGAAAACACAAATACATGATCCAGTACGCTGACAGAAACTTAAGGAGAGATTGGAACAAACAAAATAAATTTTTGAGCTGAAAGCTAAATTAAGTTAAATTAAAAACATAGAAGACATCAAGAGCAGTATAGGTCAAGCAGAAGAGTTAGTGAGCTTGAACATAGGCTATTTGAATAGACAGTAGGAATAGAAGAAAAAGAATTATGAGAAAATGAAGCTTCTGAAAAGTTTGGGACATGATTAAAAGAGAAAATATTAGGTTTATTGGAATTCAAGCAAGACTTGAGAATGTCAAAAGTGAAGAAAACTTACTTAAAGATATAATAAATATTACTCAAACCTAGAGAAAGATGCAATTATTCAGGTATGGAATGGTCAAAAACCATACATCAGGTTTCATTCAACCAGGTATACACAAGATATATTATAATCAAGCTCTCAAAGGTTTGTATTTAAAGAGAATATTCTCAAATCAACAAAAGAAAATAAATAACAGACAAGTGTGTCCCAATTTATCTGATAGTATAATTCTCAGCAGAAACCTTGTAGGACAGGAGAAAGTGGAATGAAATTTTTACAGTACTAAAAGGAAAAAAAAACCCACTCTTCAGATACTTTAAGAAACTATCCTCTTGATACCTAGCAAAGCTATCCTTTAGAAATGAAAGAGAGAGGAGAAAAATTTCCAAAAATCTGAGACAATGTATGACCATCAGATATATCCTTCAAGAAATGCCAAAAAAGTTTCTCAAACTAAAAGAGATATTAATGAGTACGAAAAAAATAGGAAGATATAGAACTCATGTGTAAAAATAATTATATGGACAAGTTCATAATGTTATATTATTTTAAACATGGCATATAAAATATTTATACCCTTAGTACTAAGACTAAAATGCAAAACATTTAACAATAATAATTGCATTAATACATTAAGTATTAAGCAACATAGAAAGATATAAAATGGGACATCAAAAGTTCAGAATGTAGAAGGAATGGAGCAAAAATGTGGAGATTTTTATTTGTACAATTTTTCTTTTGTTTCCTTTCTTAACTTTACAATCATGGTAAGTTGCTCTCATTTCAAAATACCTTGCTGTAATCAAAATATATTTAGTATAAACCTCATGGTTAAAAGCAAGGCAAAAATCTGTATTAGACAAACAAAAAATTATAAACAAGCAAACTAAACACCTGACTAGAGTAATTCACTTAAATGAGAAGGAAGACTAAAAAGGGGAGAAGGAAAGGAAGTGTAATAAAATTAGAAATCAAGTTGTAAAATCATCTTAGTAAGACTTTATCTAACCAATTGTTATCCTAAATGCAAATGGACTCAATTGGACAATTGAAAGACAGCAAATGACAGATAAGATAATACAAAGTCAAGAAGAAGGAGGAGAAGAAGTAGAAGGAGAAAAGACTCAAGTATGTGTTGTTTACAAGAAATTATCTCTGAGAACACACATATAGACTGAAGGTAAAGACACAGAACAAAATATTACATGCCAAATGGGAAATGAAAGCAGGAGTAGCTGTACTTACATCAGATAAAATAGGTTTTACATAAAAAGAATAAAAAGAGAAAATCATTTTACAATGATAGAGGAATCAATTCAATAAAGGAAATAACAACTCTAAATTCATTTGCCTCCAATATGAGTGAATCCAGATATATAAGGCAAATATCAATAGATGTAGAGGGAGAGACTCAAATAGAATAATAGTAGTAAATGCTTAACATCTCACTCTCAACAATAGACAGTTCATCCAGACAGATAATCAGCGAAGAAAAAAATGAGTTAAATTGCACCCAAGACCAAATGGACCCAACAGACATCTATGGAAAATTTCATCCAACAACTTCAAATACAAACTCTTTGCAAGTGCATATAGACCATTCTCCACTATAAATCATATGATATGTCATAAAACAAGTCTCAAAATTTTTTAAAAATTGAAATCATACCAAGTATCTTTTCCAATTACCATGCAATAAAACTAGAAACAAATAACAAGAAAAAAATGGTAAACTACAAAAATAAATGGAAATACTTCATTCTAGAACAACCAATGGGTCAAGGAGAATCAAGAAGAAAAAATTTTAAAAATTGTTGAAACAAATGTAAATAGTAATCCAACATACCAAAACCAATATACTCAATATGCACAGTTCAATATAGCCAAATCAATAAATATACATCGATAAAATAAAGGAAAAAAAGACATATGATCATCTCTCAGGTGCAGAAAAAGCATTTGATAAAATTCAACATTTCTTTATATAATAAAAATTCCGATCAAATTAGCTATAGAAAAATGTACTTAAAGATAATAAAGGCTGTATATAACAGACTAACAACTAACATCATACCATATAAGGAAAAAATGAAATATTTCTAAGATATAGACCAAGGCAAGGATGCCATTTTACCAGTTTTATTTCATGTTATACTGCAAGTTCTAGTCAGAACAGTCATGTAAGAGAATAAATAAAGGGTGTACAAAGTGAAGAAATCAAATCACTATTGTCCACAGATGACATGATCTGACAGAACTGTCCCAAAGATTCCACGAAAAAGTGATTATAACTAATGATCTAATTCAGTGAAGTTGCAGAGTACCCAATCAAAGCACAAAATTTGGCAATATTGCAATATGCCAATAGCAAATTATCTGAATTAGAAATCAAGAAAGCAATGCCAAGACAATAGCTACAGAAATACCTAGGAATCAAGTTAACCAAAGAAGTGATAGATCTCTATGATTAAAATGATGAAACATAATATTAATTATGCAATAGAAATTGCAGAGGTTCAGAAAAATAAGTGAGAATACATTGTAAGTTCATGAATTAGAAAAATCAATGTTGTTAAAATGTACATACTACCCAAAGCAATCTATAGATTTAATGCAAAACATATCCAAATACCAATGGCATTATTCATAGAACTTAAAAGGCAATCCTAAGTTTATATAGAAGCACAACATATTTCCAAATGTCCCAATGTTGAGCAAAAAGAACAAAGCATTAAACTACTTTCACTTCTAAGTACACTACAAAGCTATAGTAATTAAAGCTATAGTATTGATTGAAAAACAAACAAATGGAAAAGAATAAAAAGCCTAGAATACACTTACATGTTTACAGCCAACTTTTGACAAAGATATAAAGAACATGCATTAGAGAAAGGACTGTGTTTTCAGAAAAGGTGGTGAGAAAATTGGATATCCACATGCAGAAGAATGAACCTAGACTCTTACCTCTTATCAGCTACAAAAATCAACTCAAAGTGTATAAACAATTTTAATTAAAGACCTAAATGCATGAAACTACTAGAAAAAAAGGGAAAGTCTTCAGTATATTAGAATGGGCAAGGATTTTTAGGAAAAGACCCCAAAAGCACAGGAAATAAAAGCAAAAATTGACCAATGGGTTTACATAAAATGAAGAAGCTTTTACACAGCAAAGGCAATAATCAATAGGGTAAATAGACAACCTATGTAATAAGAAAAATATGTACAAGATAAATATTTGGCAAGTGGTTAATATTTAGAATGTGGAATTAACTCAATAGCAAAAAGCAGAACTAAAGACCAAATATGTCTAAATAGACTATTTTTAAAAGCAGACCTACAAATAGCCAATAGATATATGAAAAACTGCTCAGCATTTCTAATCATCCGGGAAATGCCAATCAAAACCACAATGAGAAAGCATCTCATCCAAGTTAGATGGTTATTACCAAAAAGACTAAAGATAACAACTGCTAAAGATGTGAAGAAGAGTGAACCTTTATGTTATGGTTTGGATGTGAGGTGTCCCCCAGAAGCTCATGTGTGGGACAATGCAAGAAGATTTAGAGGAGAAATGACTGGTTAACTCTGATGGGATTAATTGAGTGGAAACTAAAGGCAGGTAGCATATGGCTGGAGGAGGTGGGTCATTGGGGACATGCCTTTGGGGTATATATTTTGTATATGGTGAGTGGGGTCTCTCTCTCTCTCTCTCTCTCTCTCTCTCTCTCTCTCTCTCCTTCCTGATCATCATGTAAGCTGCCTTCCTTTGCACTCTTCCATAACCATGTTCCACCTCACCTCAATTCCCAAGGAATGTAGTAGTGCAAGCTGGGAATGTTTGGATTATAGTAAACAGAGGTTAATGGCTGATTATGGTGGGAGCTCAGAAGACCAGAATACCAATAGGACTGTGAACAGTGAAGACAGAGCTCAAGAGGATTTAGAGGAAAGGGAGAATACTATCAGTAATTGAGCTAGAGGCCTTACATTCTGGCTGAGAAGTTGTCTGCATTTTTCCTGTGTCCTGAGACCTTTTATGAGGTTGATTTTAAAAGTGATGGATTCTTAATCTGGCAGAAGAAATTTCTAGACAGCATAGCATTCAGGTGGTAGCATAGCTATTGCTGGCAGCTTTTAGCCAATTTTGTTATGATATTCAGGAGCAGAAACCTCAGTAAAACTGGGGCTAAGGAATTTGCAGTCATTGAATACATTACTGACACTAAAGAAATGCAAAAGACTTTGCCCAGAGATATTAAGAAAGATGGCTTGAGGGCATCTCAGGAATTGGCAAGATCATATCCATCTCAGATTCAAGAAAATAAAAGTAAAAATTCTTTTGAGGAATTTTTTTTTTTTTTTTTTTTTTTTTTGCACAAGGTGGCCTAGGAAGTTTTTCAATGTGTTTAGCCACCCAGACACTCAGAGGCTGCTGCAACCAGGGTCCCTGAAGGCTTGAGATGACAGCAGACCTTGGCATCCACAATGTGGTACTAGTTTTGCAGGAATGCAGGATGCTGGAGTTAGAGGGTCCTGGAGGCTTCTACCAAGATTTCAAAGAAAGGCTTAGGGGGCTAGAAAAAGTACCCCAGGATTGAAGTCCTTGTGGGTAACCCCTGAGAGGGCAAAGTATGGAAATGTGAGGAGAAGCTGAAAGCTGCAATAGAGACCCCCCTAGATTAAGAAGTGTCAGTAATGTGGAACATTGTCCTAGGAAAGCTGCAGGAATTGGAGACAACCCAACAGAAAGGGTAAAACCAACAAGGCCAGAGGGGTGGAGTATATAAGCTCTTATCTAGATGCTGGACACATAACTACAGGACTTGTTTGCCCAAGGGTATTTCAGCCTTGCTTTGGTCCCATCCCTTCTTTCTATGCTCCTATTTTTGTTTTTTAATTTTTTGTAGTTGTAGATGGAAAGAATGTTTTTTTTTAATTTCTTTATTTTTATGGGGTGCTAAGGATCAAACCCAGTGCCTCATACACGTGAGGCAAATGCTCTGCCACTGAGCTACAGCCACAGCCCTCTATGCCCCTATTTTTGTGAATGGAAATATATACTCTGTACGTCATATATTGGATACTTGCAAATCACCTTTGATTTTTACAGGAACTCCCAATACAAGTTTGCCCTGAGTCTCAGAGGAGACTTTGGGCTTGAACTTTTGGGCAATCTTGGAATGGTTGAGACTACAGAGACTCTTGGAAATGGATAAAATGTATTTTGCATTGTGAGATGGTTATGAATTTTGGGGGCCAGGTGTGGAATGTTATGTTTTGAATGTGAGGTGTCCTCCAAAATCTCAGGTATGTGACTCAGAGGTTTAGAAGAGAAATGATGGTTTATGAGAGCCTTAACCAATCAGTGAATTAATCCCTTAATGGGATTAATTGAGTGGAAACTGAAGGCAGGTAGGGTGTGCTTAGAGGAGGTGGATCATTGAGGTCATGCTTTTGGGGTATATATTTTGTATCTGGTGAATGGAGTCTCTCTTTGCTTTCTGATCATCATATGAGCTGCATAATGTCCTGTCTCACCTCGATCTCTGAGGAATGGAGCCTCTTCTATGGACTGAGATCTTTGAAACTATGAGCCCCCCAAAACTTCCTCCACCAAAATTGTTCTAGTTGGGTCTTTTATTCACAGCAATGAAAAAGCTGACTAAAGCAGAATGTAAATCAATATAGTTATTATGGAAAACTACTTGGAGTTTTCTCAAAAAAAATAATTACCATGTGATTCTGCAATCCCATAACTGGGTATATGTCTGAAAGAAATGAAATCGGCATGTCAAAGGGACATTTGCACTCACATGATTATGGCAGTGCCAATTTGCAATATGCAAAAAATGGAAACAATGCAAATGCCCATCACCTATTGAATGGATAAAGAAAATGTGGACCATATAGAATGCAATACTATTTAGCCTTTACAGGGGATGAATTTCTGGCATTTTCAATTACATGAATAGAACTAGAAATCATGTTATTGAAATAAACCAGACCCAGAAAGACATGTACCATATGATTGCACTTATGTGGAATATAAAAACTCGACCTCATAGAAATTAAGTGTATCATATTGGTTACCAGAAGTTGGGAAACATAGCAGAGAGGAAGTGATGGCAAAAGTTTGAAAAATAGATACTAAGTCCTAGGACTTAGATATTCTGGTGACTGCAGATAATGAAAATGGACTGCATATATCAAAAAAAACTAGAAGAAATGATTTTGAATGTATTCACCTTAAAGAAATGATAAACATTTGAGATGATAAATATTTTTACCCTGATTTAAACATTACACAAGGTATATATGCATCAAAATATCACTTGCGATGCCATAAATATGTTATTTTTACATTTTTGTATGTCAGTAAACACAAATTTTTAATTTTATACTTTTTTATAATTTTTAATTTAGTTTTAATTTAATACTTATTTCCTTTCTTGGCTTTATATTTGCTCATTGTTTATATAGATTTATAAAAGTTCTTTATAGCCAGACATGGTGACGGACACTTATAATCTCAGCAACTCAGCAGGCTAAAACAGAAGGATCTCAAATTTGAGGTCAGCCTGGACAACTTACTAAGAACCTGTCTCAAAATAAAAAATAAAAAGCACTGGCGATGTAGCTTAGTGATAAAGTGACCCTGGGTTCAATGCCCAGGTCCAATTAATTCGTTAATTTATAAAACAGTTCTTCAAGAGTCATAGATATGACAAAAGACAGAACTTTTTTTTCCCTCAATCTGTCTTTATGCTTGTTGTATAGAGTCTTTTATTATGTAAACATTAAAAGCTCTTACATAGTCAAATTCAGCTATTTATTTTTTCTTTTATAAAGTTTTAGTATTTTCATCTTGCTTAAAAAGTTCTTCCTTTACAGAATCATTAAATAATTGATTATATTTTCTTCAGTACTTTTGTAATTATGCTTAAATTCCATATTCAGTTGCAGCTTATTTATATATTTATGTATATGACATGATACATAGTCCAGGCTTCTATTTTTCTGTCAAAGGGCAAATTGTACTGATATTCATAAACCATTCTGTTTCTTAACTGATACTAGAAATCACCTTTATCAGAAATTAAACCTCATTATATATATGGGTTTCCGTCCTATCTCTCCAGTCTGTAAGCCCAATATAGTTTTCAATTTTTCATGTCAAACTACAGGTTTTTGTAATTTCTAAAATTTTATTTTTAATTTAGTATTTGAATATACTCCCAATTATTGTTTTTAATCAAATATCAGGGACTTTTTTCTTTCAAAATTATCTTCTAGGTAAAGACGATAACTTCAGACTACAACTAAAACACTTTTATTTGAATTGAATTAATGTATCAAGTTGGGAATAATTATCTTTTCCATGCAATAAAATGACATGTTATGCTATTATCTCTGCTTTTGTTTTATGCCATTCAGTAAAGTTTTATTATATTTTTACTGAACTTATCCCATTAACCTTATTTCTAAGCATTTTGTATATTTTGTCAGTTTTATGTATGGAGTCATTATATTATTTCATTTTCCAATCAATTAGTTCTGGCAGAAGAAAAATCTCTTGATTTCTAAATTTATCTGATAGACACAGTCATCCTATCATGTTTTGCTTATACATTGTATTATTTTTTAAGTTATGGCCCAGATTCTTTTAGGTATACTAATCAAACACAAAAGTAATAATCATATTACATATAATATACTATATACAGTTGGAGTACATAGCTGGGTTCAAAAGTGGAAAAAAAGATTATGAATATTATAAACAACAAGGGAACATACAACTCCAATGGTGATCTGGAGTTAAAATTCCCTGGATGTAGCATATTCAAATAGAGATGAAAAGAAGATAATGGAAGTAAGGATTGAATAATCCCATGTTATTTCTTGCTGGAATTTGTATTCAGGAATATTGTTAGCACTTGACAAGAGAGTCAGCATTTTCCATATTTAATGGAAAGCAAGTTTCTATGAACTAGGACTGACCAGGCTTTGGTCGGCAGTAGAGTAACCTGTGAGACACCAGCTCCTCCCAAACTGGGGGAGCATTTTCCAACAATGACTGGTTGAAGAAGGTCTTGAATGTATGAGGAGTTGAAAACATTGGTGGTTGTATATCAATCAACTTCCTCTAATCTCCCTAAATGATAAAAAAAAAAAATCACAACTATGAAAATTCTCGTTAAAATCATGGCTTTAGCAATAACTGAAGACAATAAATGTTCAAACCTCAAAATCACTGTGGGAAACAAGAGAAAGCCAGCAAATCCCACGCAGGATCTTTCTCATTCCATTCCCACCCTGTCCGCTGCAAGATCTGTGAGAAGCAAAGAGAGAGCAAGAAAAACCATGGGGAAAGCAAGAGACAGATTGACTAACAGGTGGTCCAAAGAGGATTTGTTCAAACCACTGGAAAGATAAAATCATGCCAAATATGAAAGTTCAGAGAAGGGACTGCAGAAGTAAGTGATTTTAAAGTACATGGGATTTAAAGGGTCAAATGCTACATAAAAAATCAATTGGGCAACTTAAAAGGGAGGCTTATCATAAAGGTCTAAGTGCAAAATTTAAAGGGGTAGGAATGAGTTTTAAGGACAGATGAGAATTAAAGGGATTCTCTTCTAAATGCATAGTTTCTGATAGAGAAAACAATTAAATAGGGACAAACAAGAACCTTTCCCTTCCTAATTGCTGTAGGACAATGAAAAAAATTAGGATCCTGGAAATCAAAAAAGAATCATTTAATTGGGAGACTACCAACTACTCCCTGCTAACAAAAATTAACAAACAATAGTGACAGATTACAAATTAATTAATTACAAATTAATAGAAAATTTTCTCCGTGTGTTTGTGCATGGTTTTATTTTTAATAAAATGCCCAAAGCTGAAAATTAAAGCATTTTAATTTTTTATTAAATTTTCTTTATTAAAGCATTGCGGAAGATGACAGTGATAGAAAATGGCAGTTTATTTGGTCGATTGATTTTTTTGCTGCCGGTCTTCTTGCATGGTCTGCTGTAATACCATTGTTATGCTTTCCACATGACATACCAGGTGAATGTAAATATATAATTCATTAATTAAAGTTTAGTACTTCCCACCCCTTAGCTCCCAAGAGTTCGGAGCATGGCTGAGCTACATCTCCTACTGGTAGTGGTCTCTCCATTGAGATATAGTGTCTTGTGATAGTATTTTTTGAACAAATGAAACAACCCTACAGCCAAATATTTTATTTGTCTACCACAATTTGAGTAATAAATATTTTTACTTCTCATTATTTCATTTTACAAATGTTTTATGTCTAGAGTTCATAATTTTAAACATGAAGTATATATAGATCTGTTTACCTAGCATGATTCAATATATGCACTATGTCATAGAATGTTTTTAAGATTAAATTACTAGTAAAATGATGTGGAAGGACTAAAAAACCTGTAACATCAGAGAAATCTGATTCTTGATTGTGCATTTCATGGGCACAACATGTTTTTAGAAACATCAAATATTATTTTTTTCATGTTTTATGACTGTGCTTTCAAACATGTTAGCCATTTGTTAAATGTGCCCATTTAAATTTTAAAACAAATTAAATTAAAAAATAATTTACTTGATAATTGGAACTATATTTCAAGTATTTATTAGGCATTTATATAACTAGTAGTTATAGTATTGGACAGTGTTAATATGGAAAATTTTCATTATCACAAAATGGTCTTTAGGACAGCACTGTTTTAGAAGATGTGTCTTTTACTTAATAGGATTAACTTTAGATTGTTTAAAAATAATTCATGTCCCTTTTCATTACAAACTGGATTTATCTGTGTGTGTATGTATGTGTTATATATGTATTTAACTTATTTGAACATGTCATAAAATCCTGTTGCTTGTTAACATATAGGTACAGCAAAAATAAAAGCTATAAAACGTAAACAACAGACTCATTTGTTTGGTGACAAGCTTAAAAATAAGAAATTTGGACCTGGTATTAAGGACTTGTTTGCTGCTATTGGGGTAAAGTAAATTACTTTATATGAAAAATGAATTAAGTTGATCTTTGCAATTTTCTAATAGTGGACTTAAGAAAGTAGCCATAAAGTGTTCAACTTAAGTCTGGATGAAACTTTTGGAGTCTTTTTATTAAAATATTCCATTTTCATATAATGGGAACCAGGACCCATCGCACTCAACTGTCATTACCAAGAGTATGTTGGTGTGAGAAACTGATATCAGGTATATTCTATTTCTTTTAATTTTGTTTTTATATGATTTTGTGTTTATTTTTCCCTGAAGAAATAAATATGGCATTTAATGAGATGACAAGTAGTCATCAACATTATATTTTATTATGTTTAATTCAGTGAGAACAAATCTGGAAGTTAACACATAATACCACAAGTACCATATTCCATGGAAAATGTCTTATCATGATGTGAAATGGAGCATTCACACCTATCATACAGTCATCATGATGGCATAAAACATGCCAACTTTCAAATAGTGAGATTCTACTTTTCTATTCTTATAATTTTATATTTTAAGGCACTTGCATAATTTTATTATACATTTATATTATATCAAGTCCTATCTCAGATTATTCTGTAGATAAAATTCATTCTTTCTCTCTCTCTCTAAATTAGAGCATTACATTTATACATTGTAGTTGGGTTCATTTTAACAGAATCATACATTCAAGGAATTTGGCTTCAATTCCCCACTGCCTTGCTTTCACTCCCCTTATTTTAATTCCTCTACTATACTGTTCTTCTTTGTGTTCACTTATCTATTGATTTCTTTAACTATTTTTAATAAATTTTATTTGTTCTAGTTATTTATACATGACAGAATACATTTATGCACTTTGATATATTATACATAAATGGGGTATGATTTCTCATTTTTCTGATTGTACATGTTGTAGAATCAGTGTTCCTGAGTCATATATGTACATAAGGTAATGATGTCTGTTTCATTCTGCTATCCTTTCTATCCTCATACCCCTCCCCTTCTCTCACTCTCTTCTACCTAATCTAAAGTAACTCTATTCTTTCATAGTGCCCTCCCCTATTGTGAATTAGCATCTGAATATCAGAAAAAAAAAACCCAAAACATTTGGCTTTTGTTTTGGGGGGGATTGGCTTATTTTACTTAGAATGATATTCTTCAGTTCCATTCATTTACCAGCAAATGCCATAGTTTCATTCTCTATAGCTTAGTAACATTCCATTGTATATATATACCACATTTTCTTTATCCATTCATCTATTGAAAGGCATCTAGGTTGGTTCCTAGTTCAGCTGATGTGAATTGAGCTGCTATAAACATTGATGTGGCTGCATCACTATAGCATGCTGATTTTAAGTCCTTTCATTATAGACTGAGGAGTTGGATAACTGGGTCAAATGGTGGTTCCATTCCCAGTTTTTAGAGGAATCTCCATACTGCTCTCCAGAATGGTTGCACCAATTTATAGTACCACCAGTAATGTATGAGTGTATCTTTCCCCCCACATCCTCAGCAACTGTTATTGTTGACTATATTCTTGATGATTGCCATTCTGACTGGAGTGAGAAGAAGTCTTAGTTTTGATTTGTATTTCTCCAATTGCTAGAAGGCTAAACCCAAGGCCAATATAGTTCTAAATGTAAAAAATTGAAAGCATTTTCTCTAAAAGCTGGAACAAGACAAGGATGCCCTCTTTCACCACTTTTATTCAACATTGTCCTTGAAACTATAGCCAGAACAATTAGAAGAAAGAAACTAAAGGGATACAAATAGGTAAAGAAGAACCTAGATTATCACTATTTGCTGATGTGATTCTAAATTTAGAAGATCCAAAAAATTCCACTGGAAAACTTCTAGAACTAATAAATGAATTCAGCAAAGTAGCAGGATATAAAATCAAAACCCATAAATCAAATATGTTCTTATACATCTGTGGTGAATCCACTGAAAGAGTAATTTGGAAAGCTACCCCACTAAAATAATAAAATACTTGGAAATCAATCTAACAAAAGTGGTGAAAGAACTGTACAATGAAATCTACAGAACCAGGGACTGGGGATGTGGCTTAAGCAGTAGCGTGCTTGCCTGGCATGCGCCGGGTGCTGGGTTCGATCCTCAGCACCATATAAATAAAGATGTTGTGTCCACTGAAAACTAAAAAAATACATTTTTAAAAAAATCTCTCTCTCAAACAAACAAACAACAACAACAACAACAACAAAAAAAAAAACTACAGAACACTAAAGAAAGAAATTGAAGAAGACCTTAAGATGGAAACATCTCCATGCTCTTGGATAGGCAGAATTAATATTGTCAAAATGCCCATACACCAAAGCATTATACAGATTTAATGCAATTTCTGTTAAAATCCCAATGTCACTCTTCATAGAACTAGAAAAAAAAAAGTCATGAAATTCATTTGGCAAAATAGGAGACCCAGAAGAGCCAAAGCAATCCTGCAAGAAAAGTGAAGCAGGAAGCATCACAATATCAGACCATAAATTATACTGCAGAGCTATAGTAACAAAAATGGCATGGTATTTGCACCAAAACAGACACATAGACCAATGGTACAGAATAGAAGAACACAGAGACAAACCCACATAAATACAGTTATCTCTTACTATACAAAGGCATCAAAAACATTCACTGGAGAAAAGATAGTTTATTCAATAAATTATTCTGGGAAAAATGGAAGGCCATATAACAAAATGAAATTAAACCTCTGCATTAAACTCAACTCAAAGTGGACTTAGGCCCTAGAATAGAGACCCTAATAGAAGAAAATAGAGCACCTAATAGAAGAAAAAGTAGTCCCAAATCTTTATCATGTCGGCCTAGGTTCTGCCTTCCTTAACAAGACTGTAAAGTGCAAGAAGTAAAATCAGGAATCAATAATTGGGACAGATTCAAACTAAAAAGCTCTTCTCAGTGAAAGAATCAATAATGTGAAGAGAGAGCCTACAGACTGAGAGAAAATCTTTACCACATGCACCTCAGATAAGCATTACTTTCTAGGATATATAAAGAACTCAAAAAACTTAACACCAACCCCCCCGCCCCCCAAAAAAGCAACCCAGTCAATAATTGGGCTAAGAAACTGAACAGACTCTTCACAGAAGAGGAAATACAATCAATTAACAAATATGTAAAAAGATGTTCAGCTTCTCTAGCAATTATCTATTAATTTTCTAGTGGTACTTTCTTTCTACTTTTAAATAAAGGTGAAATTCCCTTTGGCATATTTATATATGCAGATAAAATGATTTGGTTAAATTTCTTCCATATTTCTTTCCCTTTCAAGTCCTCCCCACTCCTCCTTGTTTTCCTTTTCTACTTCACTGATCTTCTCTATGTATTTATGACATCCAATCTCCCTACCCTGCTTTCTTTCCCTTATTTTGCTCTACTTTCCACATATGAGAGAACACATTCAATCCTTGACTTTCTGACTCTGGCTTATTTCATGTAGCATGATGCTCTACATTTTCACCCATTTGCCAGCAAATGCCATAATTTTATTTTTCTTTATTTATAGTTGAGTAAAACTTTGTTGTGTGTATATATATATATATATCACATTTTCTTGATCCATTCATCTATTGATGGGCATTTTGACTGGTTTTATCATTTGGCTATTGTGAATTGGGTTTCTATAAATATTGAAGTGGCTGTATCACAACAGTATACTGATTTTAGTTCTTTTAGATAAATCCTGAGGAGTGGGGTAGCTGGGCCACATGATTGTTTCTTTCTTACTTTTTTGAGGAATCTCCATACTGCTTTCCAACCAAATGAAATTAAACCTCTGCATTAAACTCCACTCAAAGTGGATCAATATAAAGCAATATATAGATTCAGTGTAATTCCCATGGAATATATCAGTGTCACACCAACAATATATCAGTGTAACTTTTTGCCCTAATGCTTGACAGCATTTATTTATTTGTGTTCTTGGTAATTGCCATTTTGACTAGAGCGATATGAAATCTTAGTGTAGTTTTGATTTGCATTTCTCTGATTGCTGGAGATGTTGAAATTTTTTTCGTATATGTCTTGGCTATTTGTTTTCCTCTTTTGAGAAATCTCTAATTAGTTATTTTGCTTATTTATTGATTTTTTTGGCATTGAGTTTTTTGAGTTCTCTATGTATTCTGGATATTAATCCCCTATCAGAGGAGCAACTAGCAAATATTTTTTTTCCATTCTATAGGCTCTCTTTTCCCACTTTTAATCAATTTCCTTTGCTGCACAAACTTTTTAAATTTGATATCATTCCACTTATTGATTCATTGTTTTATTTCTTGAGCTTTAGGCATCTTATTGAAGAAGTCAGTGCCAACACCATATGATGAAGAGTTGACCTTATGTTTTCTTCTAGAAGTTGCAAGTTTTATAGTCTAAATTTTAAGTCTTCAATCCATTTTGTTTTAACTTTTGTGCAGGGTGAGAGATAGGGACTTATTTTCATTTTTCTACATCTGGATATTCAGTTTTCTCAGCACCATGTGTTTAAAAGGCTATCTCCTTTCCAACATATGTTTTTGACACGATTTTCAAGTATCAGATGACTTAAGTATGTGGGTTTGTTTCTGTGTCTTCTCCTCTATTCTATTAGTATTCGTGTCTATTTTGATGCTAATACCATGTTGTTTCTGTTACTATAACTCTGTAGTGTAATTTACGATTGGGTATTATGATGTCTCCTACATCACTTTTCTTGCTTAGAACTGCTTTGGCTATTCTATGTCTCTATTCTTTCAAATGATTTATGGACTGTTTCTTCTAGTTATGTGAAGAATGCTTTTGGTATTTTCATGGGGATTACACTAAATCTATATATTGCTTTTGGTTGCATGGACATGTTATTAATTCTGCCTATCCAAGTTCATGGGAGGTCTTTCTATCTTAAATGTTTTCTGTAATTTCTTTCTTCAGTGTTCTGTAGTTTTCATTGTAGAAGTTTTTCACTTCATTGGTTAGATTAATTCCAAGGTATTTTATTTTATTTTACTGTATTTTTTGAGATTATTGTGAAAAGGATGGTTTTCCTCATTTATTTCTCAGATGAGTCACTTTTGGAGTATAAAAAAGCTATTGATTTATGAGTGGTGATCTTCTATACCTTTATGAATTCATTTGTTAGCTCTAGAAATCTTCTGGTGGAAGTTTTTTGGGTCTTCTTGATATAGGATCATGTCATCAAAAAATAAAAGTAATTTGATGTTTTCTTTTCCTATTTGTATCACTTTAATTTTCTTCTCTTGCTTTATTCCTCTGGCTAGAGTTTCAAGGGCCTATATTAAATAGAAATGATGAGAGTGAATATCCTTGTCTTGTTTCTGATTTTAAAGGAAATGCTTTCAGTTTTTCTCTGTTTAGTATGATATTAGTTTTCGGTTTGTCACATATAGTATTTAAAATATTGAGGTAATTTCTTCTATCACCAGTTTCTCTAGAATTCTTAACATGAATGGATGCCAGATTTTGTCAAAGGACTTTTCTTTATTGGGATGATCAACTGATTCTTATTCTTAATTATATTTAATTGGTGAATTCCATTTATTGATTTTTGTATGTTAAACCAACCTTGTATCCCAGGGATGAAGCCCACTTGATTATGGTGTTTTATCTTCTTGATGTGTTTTTTACTATGGTTTGTAGTATTTCATTAAGGATTTTTGCATTGATATTTATCAGGAATATTGGTCTGTAGTTTTATTTCCTTGATGTGTCTTTGTATGGTTTTGGAATCAGGGTTATACTGACTTTATAGAATGCACTTGGGAGTGTTCTTTCCCTTTCAGTTTCATAGAATAATTTGAGAAAGACTGGTGTTAGTTCTTTAAACGTCTGGTAGAACTCAGATAAGAATCCATCTTGTCCTGGACTTTTATTTGTTGAAAGGCTTTTAATTGTTGCTTCAAATTTGTTATTTTGATATTGGTCGGTTTATGTTTTCTCTATCTTTCTGATTCAATTTAAGCAGATTATATGTGTCTAGAAATTTGTCAGTGTATTTTAGATTTCCAGTTTATTGGAGTATAAATTTTCAAAATAGTTTCTAATGATTCTCTGATTTCAGTAGTGTCTGTGGTGATATTTTCCTTTCCATCTCTAATTTTGTTTATTTGGGTCCTCTATATTTATTTTTGTTAGTTTGGCTAAGAGTCTATTAATCTTGTTTATCTTCCAAAGAGCCAAGTCTTTGTTGTATTGATCCTGTGTATTGTTATTTTATTCTCGATTTTATTAATTTTGGCTATGATCTTTATTATTTTATGTATTTTGCTTATTTTATAGTTAGTTCTTTCTTTTTAAGGTCTGGAGATGGAACATAAACTTACTTATTTGGAATCTTTTTATTTTTTTTTTAAATGATGACACTCAATGTTATCAATTTTCCTCTTAAAACTGTGTTCATACTGTCCCAGAGATTTTGATATGTTGTATCTCCATTCTCACTTGTTTCTAAGAATTTGATTTCTTCTCTCATTTCTTCTTTGGTCCATTCTTCATTTAAAAGAGTGTTTTTCAATCTCTATGTGTTTATGTGGTTTCCATTCTTTTTCTTGTTGATTTCTAGTTTCATTCAATTATCATCTGATAGAATGCATGGGCATTAAATCTCTCTCTCTCTCTCTTATTTTTTGTATTTTCTAAGATTTATATTGTGACCTAGAATATTATCCATTGTGGAAAATGTTTCATAAGCTGCTAAGAAGGTAAATTCAGCTGTTTGGGGTGACATATTCTCAAGTTTTTATTAGGACTATTTGATTTATAGTATTATTTAGGTTAAAAATATCTATATTGCTTTTATGTTTTGATGACCTATTGGTGATAAAGGTACATTTAAATCAGTTAATATTATTGTAGTAAGATATCTCTGAGATGTAGTATCAAGGAGTATTTTTTTTATACAATAGTACACACTGACATCCATGGCATATGTAATTACTATCATTATATCTTCTTTTGTTGGATGGATCTCTTTACCAGGAGGCAGCGGCCTTCTTTTCTTCTTCTGAATATTTTTTTTTTTTTGCTTGAAATCTTCTTAGTTACATATGAGTTTCTTCTGCTTTATTTTTGAACTCCTTTTGCCTGGACTATTTTTTCCCATCCTTTTACCTTCAGCTTATGAGTGTCTTTGCCTATGAGATGAGTCTCTTGAAAATGGTTTTTAATTAGATCTTGCTTTTGACCCATTCTGCTAATCTGTATCTTTTAATTGGGGAGTTGAGATCACTTACATTCAGTGTTATTATGAATATGTGTTTGTGGTTTCCTGCCATTTTGATTTTTTTGCTTTATTCAATTCTGTCCTGATTCTAATGCAGTTGATTATTATTGATCTTCATATATTTGGGAGCTTTGGGATTAGTTTTGGGATCTTCTGTGTGCAGTATATCTTTGAGTATTCTTTGTAGCGCTCATTGGTAGTTTTATTCTCCCTTCATAATAAACATTAACTGATTTTTCTTACCTAATTTTTTTTCAGATTTTATTCCTATGTTCTCCACATTCTAATCACTTTCTTGGTCCTGATCATATCAAGTATGTTATCATACTGCTTATTTGTGCATGCTAATCTATTTATTTAAACTGTCCTTCTCTCTTTCTTCATTCCAAAACAAACAAAAATCCCTTTTTCACTTCTTGTCTTATTTTTCTAGGCAAAATGACTGTCTCCTTAATGCTCCAGGAAAAAAAAAAAAAAAAAAAAACACACACACACACACACACATGTGCACACACACACGCACACACACACACACAAACAATGTTTTTTAGGACAACACTATTTTAGTAGAATGTGTTCATACACACACACACACACACACATATTTAACACATATACATATATATATTTGTTTTAATTTTTATATTAGTGTAGTTCTTCCTAAGATAAATGGCTATAGTTTTATAAAATAAGAACATTTTAACTTGTTTCTATTTGCCAAGTGTTATTTTGTCAAACCATAAATAATTTCTATAATTGATGATATTTCATGAAGATTTTATCAAATTTTAATTTCATCAGAACACTACATGTACCTATTTTAACAATACAGAAGCCAACAATTAGTCACAACCTCTTTCATTTTTAAAAAAATAAAATACAATCATTAAAGTGCACTTAAAATTTGAGCATAAGTGTTTTAAGTTTTTTTTCCTTTTTAAAAGAATGCTTTTGTTTTTGTTTTTTTGTAATGGGATATTTAATAACTGGGCCACATCCTCAGGTTTCTTTAATTTTTTTTTGAGATAAGATCTAAGTTGCTAAAACCATCACTAAGTTTCTGAGGCTGGCTTTGAACTTGCAAACCTCTTACCTCAGCTTTCCAAGTTGTTGGGATTATAGGTGTATACCATGAAACCTGGTCTCCCTCATATTAAATACCTTAGATTAATAAAAGCAATATTAAAAAAGAAAGACTATTTTATAGCATAGAAGTGCGAAAATATTTGTTAGACAAGATTTAAATAATGTAAAATGTACATTCAAATTTTACAGATTAAATAATATCAAGTTGAAGATTTCTGTTCTAAGAAGAAAACTAGACAACATTAATAGATTAGTAATAGAAAACTAAATCCAAGAGATTTTCTAGAATGAATATGGAATTCTTGGAAAATCTACACAAAATTTATGACCAAGTCAGAAGTCATGTAGCCTTGTTTACCTGGTTGAGACAGTCATAGGCCTTTCCAAGATCAATGACTGTTAGTGATAGACTAGTTCTGGAAGGACATGCAGAACCCAAAAAATTGCTCTAAAAATTTTGGATAGTGTAAGTTGATACATGAAGAAATTGGATCTTGTTTATACTGAAATGCTAACGCAAACAGATACCTCGGCAGAATGATCTGGATATTAGAGAAATGAAGTATTTATTCTAAGTCCTAATATCCTAGTAACTCCATTCAAGGATACATAATTCCAAAGATATTCCCTCCATCAGGTACTACACTAAAAGTACATGCACAGGAGTTTTTAAGATAGCCACACTTATTAGAGTAGGAAATTAAAGGCAATATAAATATTCAGTCTTATGGGGATGGATAAATATAGTGATATCACACTATCCCAATTAAGATAGTACTCAGAAGCTGAACTAGACAAATATGCAAAATATATCAGTGAGCAGAGTTTTTCCCAAATCTTTGCAACTAGCTACTAGGCCCACAAATAAAACTTAGAGGTGGTATGGAGAACACATAAAAATGAAAGTGTACATTTTATAGAATGGGTATATGGGTTAATTGTACATTGTATAATTACATATATGTATGTATATATATATTAATCTTTTTTTTTGGTGGGGTTCTTTTTCTGTCTTTTTTGGAACTGGAGGTTGAACCCAGGGCTTTGCAAATGCAAGGCAGACGCTTTACCATTGAGCTACATCCCAGCCCGCATATATATATTTTTGATAATTACATATATCTATTTCCCTTTATATTGAGGGAGGTAAATTTTTATAGATCTTTAACATGCATGGGCATATCTGTTTGTCTTAACTAACAAAATGTAATAATTACTATATAACTTATTTCTACTTCAGATCCTACTGAAGAATCCAGTGTTTTTATGCAAAGCTGTGTCCAAAGCCTCAGAATTCTTAGTTTTGATTGGAGCTTCTGAATTTATACCTATATATTTAGAAAATCAGTTCATAATAACACCCAGGATGGCAGCAACACTTACAGGTAAATTTTCCTTCTCACTGTGCTGATTTAAAAAAAATTATATGAACTTCACATATATATATGTGTGTGTATATATATACATATATGAAATATTTAATGTAATTAGAAAATAAAAAGAGCAATGTATGCAAATGTTGCAAAAGCACCATTTGCCAAAATTTAAGAATTTGAATTCTTTGCTATCACCAATAATTTTTAACACATCAAATTTTAAGGACATCATTACATCACTGTCTAATCCATTTCTCCTGCTCCTTTCCCTTAGATAACCACTCTATTAAAGTTACAGTGTGTACTTTTATACATGTTTGCTCACATTTTCTGCTTGTCAGAAAATATATATTCAATATATTTCTAAAATTTGTATATAATTTATACAAACTCTTCTACTTTTTTCATCAGAAATTATGTTCTTCAGAATCATGTTGATCTGTAGCTATTTAATGCATCTCAATTGTGCTATGGGATTCTATTCTATGAATACATCACTTTTTGCATTACCATATTAACAAATATGAAGTGTCCTTTAATTTCTTACCTTTTAACCAATGTAATAATAGGTTTGTTGATATATGCTCATTTATCAATGTTGTTCTATGTTTCAACATTAAAGAACAATCACTATTGTATACATCATAAATTTTACTCGTTATTGAGAATTTGGCTCTCCAAAAGAGATTGCTAATGGAATTCATTGTTATAAGGGTCTAGAAATAATGGGAAAGTGGTAAAGATAATCAGTTGTTTCAGGCTATAACTTTTAGTGTAACAAATAAAAGAAAAATAACAAGTTATTTGTTATTAAAATTTGGTTAAAATCAAAACTAGAAAAGAAAGAAAAAAGACATAAAATATTGGCTAAATAAAAAGCAAATTTTAACCTGTGGAAAAAACTTTTTTAAATTAAAAATTTCAGTAGATTTTTCTATTAAAAGACTAGCATTGTTGAATTACATATTTTCCAAAAAGCCTAAACATGATGCAACTCTGTTTCCATGGCCATTATGAAAAATTTTTCCATGAGTATACCACATTATTGATTTGATTAACCTAACCAACAGAAATTGGAACTAAATACATTCAATTTGTTTCTTATAGTATTTAATTCAACCTAACAGTTTCAAAGACATAGAATGAGACCACCTACTATATTGACCTCATCCATTGACCTTCAAGATTCTGGACCCAGTCAGCTGAACAAATCCTTTAGCACTAGGCTTCCCCTTAATATTCTATTATTAACCTTTTCATGTAGCCTGAGGTGCTGGTTCAAGTATAACAAAATACATTAACAATAGCACATTCCATGTTGGCCTACAATGAAGAAGTTTTGGGTAATTCTGTAATTTGTAATGTTGATCAGTGAGTGAGGTTTACCAGAGTGCTTTCCAGGGCTGAGATGGCGTCATTGATTATTTCAAATAAAAATCAAAGACAAATTTTGTACCACCTTTTCTAATTGGATAACTCTAATTGTAAGATAATTTCTCTCAGAATTAATACAAATATTGTGTCATTAAATCCTATGACAATAATTCCCCTTGGTAAGCAAGGGCAACTTCCTTTCAAAGAGATTTCCATGGACTTCTGAGACTACATGATCTACTTGTGTGTTTATTTGAATGCTAGATCATCTCTTATGACTACCCCTGTGTTCTTGATTAAATAATTTTCATTGGGCAAGTAAATATTGTCAAATAATTTTGAGTCTGATTTGGTCTATCCCAAATGAGAATATTAGTCCCCAGAGCTATTGGGTTTCTAGATTTCAAGGCTTCAGTTTCAACAGGAGGCCAGTAAGTTAATAGTTGTTTTACAGAATAACTGTTTTAGAGTGTCAGTTAGTCCTAAACATCAAGTGGAAACTTCCTCTCCTTCCCTCTTCACAATATCATCAGTCATTAGGACTTGTAGCTCAAAGGGTTCATTTGACTTGTAGCACCTCAGTGTAGATAGTATGCTATAGCTTGTTGATTGGCTTTAATGTAGATTTGTGGGTTATACACACTGTTGGTTAGGTAATAAAAGACCAAGTGGAATGCTAAAGTAAGACATCTAAAATCTCTTAATTTCTAGCGCCTGAAAAAATGCTCTCAACCTTTTGTTTGGAGAAAAGAAAAAACATCAGTTTCTTCTTGACTTCCAGAGAGATAGAATATTGTGAATCTTTCAGGATAGTCTTTGAAAAAATATGATGAGAAGCCTTGTGGATTTTTGCCACAGCCCCATCTCTCAGCTGAGGCCATTAATTCAGGAAATCACTGGCAAGGGGGCAATGGGGGATTGAGAGAAGACAAACAGATAAACATTTAGAAAGAAAGCTGGGGTCAGGTGGGACAGTATCCTTTGATAAAGGTATAATGCCCCAGAGCTAGCTTGGCAAATTTATTATATAGGTTTCATCAAAAGGCTATTTTGGGGAAAGTTTCAGCAAAGCAGGCAATCTGAAGGGCATAGGACTGGCAAGACATTAGGATTATTTATCTTGTTATGTTCAGAATTCTCCATCCCCAAAAGTTGGTGTCTGAGCTCAAGGTCCAGAGTGATAACATCTGTGCACCTTTGCACAGAGCCTCCCCAGGCTGGGTGTCACCATTGCAACTGGGCCATCTTGACCTGCACCTTTGCATAGGAAGTTCCCAGTTCAAAGCAGCCTCGAGGCAATCAGAGAGATTCAAGTCACTGCTCTACACAGATTTTGTTGAACATTATCAGTTACCTTTTCTAGTAAAGGTGTAAAAATAATTAAGTCAGTGTTATTGAGTCTGAGGCTTCTGATCCTCTAGCCAACCAATCTGTTAGTGTAAGGTCCAAACCAGCATGTAGGGGTACTCAGACTAAATCTGACCTGCTCCCTTGTAGCAAATGGCTACAGACAGTTTAGGTACCTCTGAGGGTGTACTGAAACATGTATTTGAGGCCTTATAGCATGAATGATAATTGATCTTTATCTTCGGGTAGGAGTGGGATCCAAAAGCAGGCTTTGGCAATGTCCAAGATAGCATATAAAGTGCCATCAGTTGGTGAACTACATTTAGTCTTGTCACTATGTCTCAAATAACCAGGGCTGTAAGGAGCAATCCCTGAATTCAGTAGGTTGTCAATTTCCTCAAACCTCATGTTCCTCTTACCATTTTTAATTGAACATAGAAACTATCAAATTAATATATTTCATGTCTTCCTACTCTTGCTGCATTTTAGTTAGTATGAAAATCTGCAACTTACCTTTTTAGTTATTTTAAGTTGTTTTTCATAGAAATACACAAGGAAGGCACTTTGAGTAGCAATTAATGAGTTCTGATATCATTTGGAGTATCAGAAGCTTTTAAAATAGAAATACCAATTAACATCAGTGTACTAAAGCCACAAGAAAAGTACATTGAAATTTTCTAAAGAACCACCTATAAGATGGGTGCCCCTTCTTTTCAGGTGCAGTAAGAATCTAAATTCTATTCAATGTGTAATCTATGACTTCACATAGGAGTTTGTTTATTTTATGGAAATCTTCCTAAGAGGATCAATGAATACTTGTAGCACACAGGATACATGGCATAAAACTCTGAGATAGTTTATTACTATCTTATAATAGATCAATGGTTGAAATGACCATAAGATACATTGAAATTTAATTAATTTACTCTAAGCAAATCAACTAAAGTTCTGATGGATCTCCTAGTCACTGCACATAGTGACTGTAAATTTCTTTTCTTTTCTTTTTTACACTCAGTGTGGTTGCACAACTTTGTTAAATGTTGTGTGAAAACAAAAGGAATCTTTTGTGTAATCACAATGAATGTTAATAATAGTGGTTACAATGGGGTCAGACCTCAGGTTATGGTCAGATTGACAAGGAAGTGCTTCTGTCTGTCTTGCGTTATTTTAATAATAACACAGAATCTTCTGTGGAAAGAAAAAAAGGAAGGGAACAATGGAAGAAAATAGTACCATAAGAACCAAAGTAGAAGACATACAAAGCTTCCAAACACTAGAAAAAAATAAGAATAAAAGTTACTTCTTTGAAAAGATTAATAAAATTGACAAAGCATTAATAAAATTGAGCAAGAAACACATACAGCATAAAATAAGTGAGAAGATTAGATGGTAATGCACACTACAGATGTTAGAAGAATAAGACCATCTTTGAAAAATATTTCATGTGTGAGTCTAATAGTATCAGGGGAATGGAAAACTTACATAGAAACACAATTTAAGAAAATAGAAAGTATAAATGATGTTAAATTTTTAGTGAGGTGACATCCATCATTACAGAGCTTCTTTTATAGTCAACCCAAATGTAAAATAGCCTCACCAGTGATTCATTTTAACCTTTAAGAAAAAAAAAATGACACACATTTTACACAGTGCCCTCCAGATAATTAAATACATAGCAAACACTTTCTTTCTGTTTTGTAAATCTACCATAAATTTGATAGACAACCCTATCAAGAACAATATAACAAAGGAAATTTTGATTTTTTTTTTTGGTTTCCAGGATTTCTTTTGGTAATTTTTCAGAATCTCACCTTTTGAAATGCATTTTCATATGCTGCATTTTCTCCCTCAGTTCATTCCTTAGATCTTTCTTCAATTAATTAATCTTTTTAACAATTAACTTTTAAAATTCTTTACCCATCATTTCCTCCACTTTGACATTTATGTGATCAAGTGTTGGAGAGTTATGAACTTTTGAGTACACCTTATTTTCTCATATAACGTGTATTTATCTCCATGTCAATTTTTGTATGTGGACTGGAAGTATTATATGTTTTAATCTCTTCTACTGTCAAACAAGGGACTTTTTAGTGAGCTCCTTTCGTTTTTGCTACATGCCCTGGCCTCGGTATATATCTAAGTGTCAGTACTTCTCAACATGATTATGCTGTGATGTTCAGTCTTTAGCACCACTGTGATATCTAATAATCTCTAGTAACTGCAACCACTTCAGAATGAAGCTATATACTAACAGACTTAAAAAACTTCCTGAAAATATTCTTCTTGAC